AGAAGTAGAGACCAAAGGAGCCCACAAAAGGCAGCTGGTGTCCTGCTGTGGCAAGAGCACAGGCTTCCACCCCTACTTCTGCTGCCAACTACCTGAAAGACCTTGAGCAAGTACCTTTAATTTCTGTGAGACTCAGTTTCTTCATATGTAAAACAGCATAAGCATGCTTGCCCTAACAATTTCCCAGGGTTTCATTGAAAATCTAATTGTGTGGAAAGTACTTTGAAACCCATAAAATGCAATGTGAAAATATAATATATAAATACAAATATTAAAAATATAATATGAAATAGGCTCTATAATAATCCACAAATAGAATTCTTAGTACAATAATTTTCCTGTTGTATTTGGAAAGCTTCAAAGTGCTTCATTTTGCAACAGAATATATATTATTTTATGGTAATGATATGAACACATTTATCTGACAGATGCTTTTGGTAGGTATCAATGATTCGATATTAGATTTTCACTAACAATTATTAGATATTCACTGACAATGCTTAGACTCATCATGCTGGTATTAAACAGAGACCAAAGTCTTCTTTCTTAATTAATTGTATTAATTTAAAATAGCATTTTAATAATCTGAAAAAAATTAGAACATTTTTTATAGAAGACTCTTGCTCATAGTATTCAAGGTATATTACTTCTTTCAGCCAAATTTCATCACATTTTTCTGTTAAGATTTAGACAGCATAGTAGAAATTGTCTCTAGGTACTCTTTGAAATTGTTCTACGTTGTAAGGCAGCACTTCATTTTAGTATTGGATATTGGCACAATATTTTTTTTGTTCTAATCAAATTAAACAGCTTGATATTAAGTAAATTTCAATTTGATTTTGTTTTATCTTGTCCAGGTGAATTAATTTTTCATAGAAATATAGTATTTCAGTTAATAAATCCATGTTAAAAGTGTGAAATTCAAACATTCTTAATGTTTTTATGACTTTTAAATATATTAAACGTCTGCAAGGAACTATAATTTATACAAGAAAATGCTCACAATATTTTATTTTTATTCTTTATTATATTCCCTGGCACATTAAGAATGTTATCATTTCAAGCATGCTGTGAATTTAAATAATCCTCTTCTACCAAAGCAAATGTTATTGTAATTATTTTTCAAGTTATGATACACTTTGTTAACAAAAAACACTATAAGAATGGCAGTAATCAATTGTGCACACCCAAACTGAAAAATAATTATTTTTAATTAACAAAGGATATAAATATGAAGCAGAGAAGCATAAAATTATTTTTCACAATTACAAAGCCATTCATAGCTGCAAAGATAACTCAAATACATTCCAGCATAACTTGCATACACATTTCTTTAATGCAGCTCATATCCCAGCCTCACACATCCCCTAGGGCTCATGGATCCATGCTGCACCCAATACTGTCTCACTTCTGAATGTTACCTTGGTACTAACAGAAAAAAAAATCCCAACAATTGGATGCAATTTGGCCACAAAAATAAGCAATACCAATTATTAGAACAATTTTCCTGTACTGATGAGGGTGCCCTTCCCATCCTTTTTCAGTTCTGTAGAAATTCCTCAACCAAATATGTTATTTTAGTGCAGAAAGTAGTGAATCCCTACCTGCAGTGTGCATCAGAATCTCCTAGAGGGTCTGTTAAAAATGCATTTGCCAGGACCAAATCCTATTCTGATCCAGAATGTTTAGGGTGGGCCTTGGGAATGTGAATTTTCATTACATGTGGTATTTGTTTGTGAGGGCTGCCATAATAAAATACCCCAGACTGGATGGCCTAAATAACAGAAATTTATTTTCTCACAGTTCTGGAGGTTAGAAACTCAAGATCAAGGTGTCAGCAGGGTTTGTTTTTCCTGAGGCCTCTCTTCTTAGCTTGCAGATGGCTGCCTTCTGGCTGCGTCCTCATATGGTCTTTCCTCTGTGTATACACATCCCTGGTGTGTCTATGTGTGTCCAAATTTCCTCCTTTCATAAGGATACCAGTCAGATTGGATTAGGTCACAATCTAAAGGCCTCATTTTAACTTAGTAACCTCTTTTAAGGCCCTATGTCCAAATACAGTCACATTCTGAGTACCAGAGTTTAGGGCTTCAACATATGAATTTTGGGGAAACACAGTCCACTATGTAACATGTGCCCTAGTTTTTCGGATATAGGTGACTCAAGGTTCATACCTAAACAAACACCAATTCAGTCTGTAGGTAAGCTAAATGTGCACACTCACCTCAGTCATTTAGTTCTATGTGGCTTATTTTGTGACAACTTCCAGGAGGGTCTTGCTATTTCACTCCTAAAGAAAATTATCATTTGGCTTCCATCCTTACTGTCTATCATGCTACATAAAATAGTCTCTCCCACCCACCCTGTTGATCTCTTTCTCCTCTACTTTACTTTTTTCTTCATACTTATCATCACCTGACATAATGTCTGTTTTTCCTCACTAGAATGTAAGCTCCACTTTGTTTTGCTCACCACTCACTGTACACACCCCCGTGTGCAGAAGAGTGACCCAGGAAGATGAAAATGTCCTGGAGGTGATCTTGCATTCCTTCTGTCAAGAAAAAGCAAGGTTGGGACTTCCCTGGTGGCACAGTGGTTAAGACTCCGCCTGCCAATGCAGGGGACACGGGTTTGAACCTTAGTCCAGAAAGCTCCCACAGGCCGTGTAGTAACAAAGCCCATGTGCCGCAACTACTGAGCTCATGTGCCACAACTACTGAAGCCCACACGCCTAGAGCCCGTGCTCTGCAACAAGAGAAGCCACCACAATGAGAAGCCTGTGCACTGCAATGAAGACCCAACACAGCAGAAAGAAAGGAAGGAAGGAAGGAAGGAAGGAAGGAAGGAAGGAAGGGAAGGAAGGAAGGAAGGAAGAAAGAAAGGAAGAAAGGTGACTGAACTAAAGAAACTAGGCAATTTCACTGTAATAAATAACAAATGTTAAAAAAAAGAAAAAGCAAGGTTTTCTGCTGAGAAGGAGCTGGGGAGGTGGTAGGGCAGGAGGCCTGAGAAGAATTAAGATTTGAAGATCCTTTATGGAGAATGGGAGAGGAAGATTAGAGGGAGTTCAAGAAGAGCTGGCTAGGCAGCATTCAGAATCCAGCTAAATGTGGAGCCCGTGAATGTCTCCTACAGGTACTGTGTGTGAGCTCCAGCAGTTCTCACAGCTGGAGAGGAGTGGAGAGGGAAAATGGATATTTTGATTCCTCAGTGACCACCATTGCTCCTTGGGATAACATTTGAGGCCCTTCACCCTAAGTTTCTATTTACATTACTTGTTTACTTCTCAGCTACATCAAGTTTCTTTTTCTTCCTTAAATACCCTTATATCTTGACTTTGTTAGTACCGTTCCCTTTGAATTCTCAAACTTTCCCTGGCTAATTTTTGGTTCTATTTTAATGATTCAGCTCAAATATTATATTTTGAAAATGTTACCCAGTTTCCTCAAGTATTAGCCATAGTGCTAATATGCCTCTTTTAAAGCACACTGTCTTTGGAATACAGACCTGGGTTCAAGAGGCAGCTGTCATTTACTGTGTGATCTTGAGCAAGACATTTAACATTCTTTTTTTACCCTTCAGTTTCCTCATCTGTAAAATGAACACAACGATAAGCCCCTATTTTAGAGAACTGTTTGAAATGGTGAAATAAGATATCAGCAAATGGTGCTATGTCTTCCTCTATTGATAGAAATTTCTTTGAAAGCAGCAATCAGGGGCTTCCCTGGTGGCGCAGTGGTTGAGAGTCCGCCTGCCGATGCAGGGGACACGGGTTCGTGCCCCGGTCCGGGAAGATCCCAAATGCCGCGGAGCGGCTGGGTCCGTGGGCCATGGCTGCTGGACCTGCGCGTCCGGAGCCTGTGCTCCGCAGCGGGAGAGGCCACAACAGTGAGAGGCCTGCGTACCGCAAAAAAAAAAAAAAAAAAAAAAAAAGCAGCAATCAGGTCATGTTCATTCTTAAATTCTTAACATTTGACAAAGTGCCTGGCACACTGTAGATTCTCCAGAATTGTGGAATAAATTAATGATCAGTGGAATTAAAGAGGTAGTTGAAGATGCTACTAGGGTATACAATTTTTTTTCCTAAATTAGAATTACAGCAAAGAAAGAGCAAGGCTTGGGAATGCTCACAATCAATTGTGCAGGAAAGTCTGCTTTGGTAAAAACATAAAAAGATTGTTTCTTCAAGGAAATAAGGTACACACAGAAACATTAAAAACTGAGAACCATTACAATGGCAGGCAAAATAGACATGGACATTGTATTCATGGAACTTACAGTCGGATACATTGTCCTATCACAATACCCAATGCATAACAATTACCACATTTACAGAGTTTCGGACTTTTTGTCTAACTCTCTCAGTAGAATAAACTTTGAGAAGAGCAGTTTCCCATTTAACTTTGAATCTCTAGCAGCCAATAGTGTTTAATACACAGCTAGAGCTCAATATGGAAAAGTTTAGGAAATTAATGACGTGGCACAGAAGGAAGTGAAGCAACTAGTAGCTCTAGTGGAACTAGAAAATTACATTCTCAGAGTTACTTTCTACAACTCAAGCAGCGGAGAACTCACTCCCCTAGAGGAGCAAGCTCCTCTTCCCAAGTTCCTGGGATTCTCACCCCACGATCGGCTGGGAAACAGGAGCGAGGCACGTAACAAAAAGAAACCTTCTTTGGATTTCAGCGATTCCAGAACCTGGCCTGATGAAGCATCCACAGGCCTAACTACGTTAATATAAGTTAAACTTCCTCCACAACCTTGAGGTACCACACCAAAACCTATTTAACCCATTCGGTGTGGGTAGGGGCGAGGCCCCGCCCCCGATTCCAAATTAGCCAATCCAAACTGCCAGAATCGGTAGCGCGGTGTCTTCTGTGATATGTAGGCTTCCGAGGCCAGGCTTTCTCCCAGCTTATGACTTCAGTTCCCGGCGGCCAGCGGGCCCCAAAGTCGGCCCTCTTTCTGGGAGCGCACCACGGAGCAAACCAGTGGGCGGGTCCTCGCCCCTCCCAGACGTGGCCAGAACCTGTGCTGTTGGTGCGGGCCGGCGATTCCCACGTGGTTCGGTGACTCGCGGTTGCAGGCTCCGGTCCTCTCTAACTTCACCGGCCTGTGGGCCTGCTGCCTGCAGAGATGCCGAAGATCAAGGCAGGGGCGAGCGGCCGGTGCCGCGAGCGGCAACAACAACGGCGGGAGCTGAAGAGCGCAGGAGGTGGGGACAGCCGGGAGGGAGCTGGGGTCAGTCGGGTTGGGTCTTCCGGCAGGACCGAACCCGGGGCGAGGACGGAGTTCTGGGCCGGGACAGTGAGACCAGGCGTGGCCCGTGCTCTGGGAGCCGCGCAAGTCCCGGGTTTCCCGGAGCGCGGGCCGCAGGCCCGGCGCGCAGCCTCTGGCTTCCTTTCCAGCAGAAGGGGTGAACTGAAACTGTCTGTCATCCCGGCTCCAAGCGTGACGTTTGGTGGCTCTCGTTGGCGCACATACTTTAACCCAACTATCCTGCTTTCTTTTCTGGGATGGTCCAATATTTGATTTTAGTTGGGCAGTTAAGGCTATTTCATGTTTTCTTCCAGGACTCATGTTCAACACGGGGATTGGGCAGCACGTTTTGAAAAATCCTCTCATTGTTAACAGCATTATCGATAAGGTGGGTGTGGAAGAGGAGAGGGAGAGAGTTATTGGGTTACTGATTTTATTCTTAGGAATATCTAAGCACAGAAAGGATGCCTGGCACAAAATAGATGCTGTATAAATACTTGTTGAATGAATTGAGGAACTGTGTAGGATTCACAAGCTGTCTTCAATATGATTTGCTTCCTTCTGTGGGTCTCGGTTTCTCCTGGCTCCAAATTCTTTTATCTTTCTGTAGATTATTTACTTCTTAGCTTAACATTTCTACTTGTTCGATTCCAGATTATTATTATTTTATTCCCAATCACTTTTTCTAGGCACCATCTATCACTGTTAGTTTTTATTTACTCCAGACCCTAAAATTATGTCTAAACAGACACCTTTGGAAGTTTGTTCCCCAGAGAAACCTATATGGTAGAAGCCAATGCCACACATAAACTCTTTGGAGTATTCTTCCTGTATGGGTCTATTGATGTTCTCTTATTGTTTTGGATGATTGGGTGCTAGGACAAGAAACACAGGTGGTGCAAATTACTTTCAGGATTGCAAAGGAAGCATCCTGGAGCTGTAAAAAGAACATTACATAGGTAATCTCGACTTAGTGTCGTTTACAGAATGAGAATTGGCCTAGCTTTTTAACCTTTTTGGCTCATGGATACCTTTGAGCGTCTGATGAAAGCTATGAACTGCAGCTGTGTGCATACAGACACCAAGTTTTGTGTAAAATTTCTGGATACTCCTGCATCCCTGAAACCATACATGGATGTAGAATTGAGAAATACTGGTACAACGTGTTATGGTTCTCAGGCAAGGTCATCATTTTGACCTTTCCAGTTTGAACTTGGTGATAACAGAGTTGATAACAAGATGCTGTTGGAATCATTTCAAAGGTAGAAAGCAGAATGCAACTATCAGAAAGAACTGCTATTCCTGCTTTTCTTACTCCTAACTATTGCCCCAAGTTAGGAGAGGTGTTAGATTTCCACTTGCACCTAATGTTAATGAGATAATTTTGTTAAGCACATAGATCATGAAGGAATCTTCTAAAAAGGGAGTCAGGATAAGATCTAACTGAGCACTTTTGAGTAAAGATATTCAGATGTAAATTAAATTATTACAGATGTTCCTGTAAAGCTAAAGTGGTTGTGCTTGCTTGTAGGCTGCCTTAAGACCAACTGATGTGGTGCTGGAAGTTGGACCTGGAACTGGCAATATGACTGTAAAGTTGCTAGAAAAGGCGAAAAAGGTAAAAAGAGGATTTTGGTATCCTCTTGTTTGGTATCAGAAATTACTATGTGAGCAAGCTCAGGTGGCTTACAGATCTATTTAATTAATTGCTCCTTTGCTAGAAACTTTATCTTAGAAAATATGAGCGAACTGGGTGAAGGGGGTCAAAAGGTACCAACTTCCAGTTATAAAATAAGTAAGCCGTGGGATGTAATGGACATGATGGTGACTACAGTTAACAGTACTGTGTAGTATAGTTGAAAGTTGCTAAAGAGAGTAAAAATTCTCATCACAAGAAAATAAAATTGTAATTATGTGGTCATGAATGTTACATATATCTAGTCATTATGTTGTACACATGAAACTAATGTTATATGTCAATTGTATCTCAGTTTTTAAAAATGGATTAAAAGAAAAAGAAAATATGGGGTATATCAATCAGGAAAACAAACCACATTGGATATTTCAATACAGGGAATTTAATATAGGGAATTGGTTACATGGTTACTAGAGGACTAAGAGAAAAAATGGGAACACTGAGGTAACCCAATAGTAGTAATTACAGAGAGCAGCTACCACCTCTAGGCTCAGGGGAACAAAGCACAGCAATTGGAGTTATTGGACCTTAGGACTTTGGAGGAGATCTAGCACAGGCCTCTGAGATTAGGGTGTCACCTGGCCACTGCTGGTACCTTCTTTGTCTCTTGGCTCACCTAGTTCCAGTTAAATTAGACCACTGTTTTGTCTTCTGGTGGAAGTAGACAACACATTTTAAAGAACTTATCTGAAGAGAGCTCAGTGAAGAGACCATTGACAAAATGTGGGAATGTTAAGGGAACCAGTAAACATTAGTGAAAAACCTAGGGACTAGCAACAGCAGGAAATAGTTACTATCCAAAGACCTCAAGGGGCAAGAGGAGGGAAGTGTGTTACCGGAGCCCAGTAAGAGCAGGAGCCATCGAACAGGGGCCACTCATAGCAGAACACAGCCACTGCCAAAACTTGTGCAAGGCACGGCCAGACATTAGGAAATACTCAACGTTGCCCCTTGCACCGGTAATGCCTTTCAGCAGGCCGTTGCCTTTCAGTAGCCAATCCCAACCAGAAGTCAAAGGGCAACGGAGCTGAACTGTATGACCCTACAGGCACAGAGAAAGCTGGAGAATGGACCTGGGAGCTAAACAGACTAAACGGCACATATATCTACTCTGTAGATGTGGTCTTCCTGGAAGTCAGTAAAACCTCAGCTTATATTGAAATAAAATTAAAATTTTAGCCTATCTGGCATCCCTTTTCATTTACTTGAGAAGTTATCTGTGCTGTATGTTCTGGATCTCAGTAGATGAGAGAAGTGATATACTCATTCCAGGAGCAGTTGCTTTGTGTGCTTCTAAGAACATTTACTACAAAGACATATTGTGTATTTTTTTCGTCATCAGTTGAGTTACAAAGCGTGGAGCCATATGAGCACAATACTTCTGTCAATTATTTGGGTAGAACGCTCACATAGTCCGGTTGTCTACTTTTCTGGGTGGTGTTTTTGTTGTTGTTCCCTTAACCCCATTCCCACATTTTGTAAATACTCTCTTCATTAAATTCTCTTAAATAAGTTCTTTAAAATATGCTGGTAGAGTACAATTGAAGGAATATTGATGGTAGAATTGGGAAAAGGAGTTTAATTCATTTAAATCATGTAAGAGTTTCCATTGAGATAACAGGAAAAGATTTATACTCTATAATTAACCTAAAAAAATTTTTTTTTTAATTTAGGTAATAGCCTGTGAACTTGACGTAAGGCTAGTAGCTGAACTTCACAAAAGAGTTCAGGGCACGTGAGTATACATAATAGAATTAAAGTGCATTTCAGTCTCATGAAACAGTATTCTTTTTAATTGCTTTTTTTTTCTTATTATCAGGCCTCTGGCCAGCAAACTTCAAGTAATGGTGGGTGATGTGTTGAAAACAGATTTGCCATTTTTTGATGCTTGTGTGGCAAATTTGCCTTATCAGGTATGTTTTCAAAATGTAGGGAACAGTATATATCCTAAATTGTTTCCTGGTGTGTCTTTCCCAGAACTAACTAGTTAATTCTCTTACAGATCTCTTCTCCTTTTGTCTTCAAGCTGTTGCTGCACCGACCTTTCTTCAGGTTTGTGACAAGAAGAGCAAAGTTACTGCCAAATCTTAGGAAAATTGACAGTTTAGGCCATGAACACAGACAGCCAAAGATTAAGGTTAATTCAGTTGAAAAACTACTGGAGAATTTGTTTTGTAGAAAATACCAATTCGTGTGCTGCTTTCTCTCTCTCTTCCTCTCTCTCTCTCTTTCTCTCTCTTTCTTTTTCAATTGCCAGAGTTATTTGGGGGAGGTATGGTCTAAGTCCTGCTCCTGAGACCAGGTGGCCTTTCCCTATTTTCTCATGCTCTTGCCATTAGCCCAGGTCAAACTTTTTATTACCTTATGTCTAGATTCTTACAGTGGCCTCCTAAGTGGTTTCTAGTACAGTCTGTACCAGTAGTTTTTGAATCGCAAGTCAAAAACTCCTTAGTACTTATAAAATAGTGAGCCATGACTGTCATTTTTAAAATATTTATTTATTTTTGGCTGCGTTGGGTCTTCGTTGCTGCATGTGGACTTTCTCTAATCGTGGTGAGCGGGGGCCACTCTTCGTTGTGGTGCGAGTACCTCTCATTGAGGTGGTTTCTCTTGTTGAGGAGCACAGGCTCTGGACACGCAGGCTCAGGGGCCATGGCTCACGGGCCCAGTTGCTCCATGGCATGTGGGATCTTCCCGGATCAGGGCTCGAACCCATTTCCCCTGTATTGGCAGGCGGACTCTTAACCACTGCGCCACTAGGGAAGCCCCATGACTGTCATTTAGAAAAAAATGACATGGAATAGAATATATCAGAGGGCATTCAGTGCATGTCATCGAGGTGATTATAGTTTCGTGAAACTTTTTGTTTGAGTTCCCTAAACATATATAGAGAGAGAGATTTGTGGCAGGTGTTGCAACGTCAAATGTACTTCTTAGTGTGACTTATTGTCAAAAAAGTTTGAAAGTCAAATCCCAGCTTTGAAGATGCTCTTCTCCTGTTCAGGAGCTTCCCCCTTGCTTGCTGAATAAAAAGTCCACTTTCCTTAACCTGTTAAACCAGGAGGACACTGATGTCACAATCTGCCTCAGCTCTTCCACAGGGATGTTTACCACCCCATGAATACAGTTCAGCTACTGAACCAATTTTGCTCGTTTGGGTTTTGTTTTTTAAAATATTTATTTATTTATTTGGCTGTGTTGGGTCCTAGTTGAGGCACATGGGATCTTTTGTTGTGGCACCTGGGCACCAGAGTGTGCAGGCTTAGTAGTGTTGCCCTGTGGCATAGTGGGATCTTAGTTCCCCAGCCAGGGATCGAACCTGCATCCCCTGCGTTGGAAGGCAGATTCTTAACCACTGGACCACCAGGGAAGTCCCTGGGTTTTGTTTTCCTAGAGGGGCTTATCGACTAGTGCTGATCTGAAATACTTTCTCATCATTGAGGGCTTACATTTGCAAGGGGTTGGAGCTACGGCCATTACACAATGAAAAACAAAGGCAGCTGGATCATTTTGTGGTAATAAAGCTCAGGTTGAAAGTGTTCTCCTCCCTTCTGGCCAGCTGGACTAATTATTAACCCCAGATATTGCTTTGCTCTATTTCCCACTTAAGAAAAGTCATTGCAGTTAAAATACATTTATAGTTGAAAATGACCTTGTTCCTTATTCCTTTCTTCTGTCTTTTCAGATGTGCTGTACTTATGTTTCAAAGAGAATTTGCTCTCCGACTGGTTGCAAAACCTGGAGATAAGTTATACTGCAGACTGTCAATTAATACACAGCTATTAGCACGTGTGGACCATCTAATGAAAGTACGTGACTGTTGTTGAAGTAATGTGGCTTAACTCATCCTTGAGCATCTAGCTGTGCCTTCTGGGAGGAAAGCGTATTTGATTACTATTTAAAGTTGTTTTTGAGAGGACTCCTTAAACATTTTCTGATTAATAGGTTGGAAAGAATAACTTCAGACCACCGCCCAAGGTGGAATCCAGTGTCGTAAGGATAGAACCTAAGAATCCACCACCACCTATCAATTTTCAGGTGAGGTTAAAATAACTAGGTCATTCAGTAAAGGGAAAAAAAAGTCCAACCTGGAAGATGTGTGTCTGTAGCAGCAGAAAGGTAACGAGTCAACCTAAATGTCTAAACAGGAGAGTGTTAATTATGATACATCCCTGTGATGGAGTAGATGGAATTATTTGACACAAGATAGTTGTTGAGGACCTCAAGAGCATGGAAAACGTTTGCAAAAGGTAAAAAGATTAGAATGCCACTGCAATTTGCTGAAGATTATAGCTATGGAAAACATGTATCTATTTGAATAAGACATGGAAAACAAGATAAAATGAAAATAGTTGTGTTAAATAGTATAACACTTTTTAATCAAAATTCTAATTTCTGCCATTTAAAAAGAGAAGAAAGCCAGATGATGTGATGTAAAACCTTACTGCAATCACATGGGATAAAAACGTGATTGCTTATGTGGTCAGTAACTGGTGGCAGTGGAGTGGTTGTCAGTTATTCCTGCAAGGTTTACTTAGGTGTGTTGTACAGGCTATATTCTAAATCATGTCTGTTTTGAGTTTTTTGAAAATGATACTTCGATTTAAATAAATGCCATGTTCTTTGTTCAGATGTGGAACAAATATGTATTTTTCTTCTATTTTTAAAATTGAGGGTAAAATATTCAGTGAGGTGCACAGAAGTGTGAAAATCAAGTATGCATCTTACTTTTGCATATGTGTGCCAGCCAAATCCAGATAGAGAACATTTTCATCACTCCATCACTCCTTTCATTTTTATATATTAACACAAAATAATACCTAGTAGGTATAGGCAGGTTTAATATTCTGTAAGAAAATATCCATCTACTGTTTCAGGAATGGGATGGCCTAGTAAGGATCACCTTTGTTAGGAAAAACAAGACACTGTCTGCTGCATTTAAGTAAGTATTTTACTAATTTATGATATATGAGGGATCAGTGCTTTCAGATACTGTGCTAAGTGCTAGAATTTGGTCCTTTTTCCTGAACAGATACCCTAAAGCATAAACATGATCCATGTCCAGACACATTTTTATCTTTTTAATTTTTTTTTTTTTTTTTGTGGTACGCGGGCCTCTCACTGTTGTGGCCTCTCCCGTCGCGGAGCACAGGCTCTGGACGCACAGGCTCAGCGGCCATGGCTCACGGGCCCAGCTGCTCCGCGGCATGTGGGATCTTCCCGGACCGGGGCACGAACCCGTGTCCCCTGCATTGGCAGGCAGACTCTCAACCACTGCGCCACCAGGGAAGCCCTATCTTTTTAATTTTGTACTTTGTGAGGCAGGAGAACTTAATGAAGAAAAGTTCCTGGACTTGGGAATTAGATCAGGTTTTTGTTTGCAAAATGGGAAATAACCAAAAACTGACCACACATCCTGCCTAGTTTTTCCTTGGAAAGATGAGGTATGATGGACCCCTTCCACATTTTTAAAAGATTTATGGCATTTTAACTTGGAAAAATATAGCAGCAATTTGGGGCCCAAGGTCAAAAGAAAGGTGAAAGCCACAATGAAAAAAAAATGTTTGTAGATGATGTTTTGTGGAGTCTAGAACTTCTTTAAGAATGTGAGAGATGTTTATCAGGACTTACTTTTTAAATATTAGTAGTTGCGATTATTTCAGAAGTTTAAATATTCAACACCTTTTTTAGTTCCTTAATTTCGCCATATGGAACGTAAATTTAATCTTATAATAAACTTAAAGGAAATTATTTATAATCTGACTTGGGAATAATAGTGATATCATGTCTTTATGTAATACAGGTCAAGTGCAGTGCAACAGCTACTGGAAAAAAACTACAGAATTCACTGTTCGGTCCATAATATCGTAAGCAGAAAATGTTTCTGTTGTTTCAATAATTTGTTCTGTTTTAAAATGTCCCTCTATTTCCTGTTTCATATATCATTACAAGATTCTTAATTTTGAACATTCCATAGGATCCTTAAAAGACAGTATGTCATGTCTAACTAGCACTAGAACTTGAATTCTAACAGGTCATTGCTGCTATGTATTTTGCAGAACATATCTGAACACCCTTGAATACTCCACTCCATCCACTTTTACTGACGGTTTTTTTTTTTTTGCCATAAAAAGATTCAGTTGAATCATAATTTTCTCAAAGTTTTAAGCTTGTGTAACTTACTCAGCGTAAAATAATTGTGTACCATTTGCTAGCCTTTGAATTGTGGCCGTCCCTTCTTGCTTGTTGCTTACGTAGCAATTACAAATTTAAAGTTACTATTTTCTCAGTGACTTTTTTTTAATACCCAGAAATTGAAATAATTAGAACAAAGTATGAGATAAATAGCAGATTTCTGGTTGTGAACCTCATGTCTCTGTATTATATTATCTGTGCAACATTTTCTTTAACTAGTTGTGTGTGTGAGCACACATAGACATATCCATATATATAATGACTGTGATGTTTGATAACTTTTTAGTTCTTTCAAGCTAATTAAACGGAGCGGACAGATAAAAGCAAATTTCTCTTGTTTTTTTTTACTCAGATCTTACATGGTTTAATGTACCACATTGCTACCTCCATTTTATGAATAAAGTCATTGTACATCTACCTACATAGGAAATATTATGCTGGATTAAGACAAGTTTTTAGGTGAAAGATGTAAAGTATGAAATATTTTCAAGGGCTGGAGAGGCCATCTATGAGAAAAACTTAACTAGCTGGTAAAATGAAATTTGTACCAAGAATATGTTACTTTTAAAGAAGTAACAATTGCTGTAAAATTTATGTTATAGTTTTAATTATTTTATGTTATGAAGTACTTTGTGACGCCTGAAACAACTATTTCAGAATTTCTAAGAAGAAAAAGGGCAATATACTTGATTTAACTCATTCAAGGTCTTCTGTGTATTTGGTATATGCTAAAAAATCAACCACTTAACTAATGAGAGATCCAAGTCTTAATCTGCACAAACAGGCTTTCCAAAACTATCATGAACTGATAAGGTGACTGTTCATGACTTACTGAACTAAAAAAAAAAAAAAAAGAGTCAAAGTGACTTCATTAAAGATATGTTGTTCATTTATTCTGAATCTTATATTGATAGATAATACCAGAAGATTTCAGCATAGCAGATAAAATACAGCAAATCCTAACCAGCACAGGTTTTAGTGACAAGCGGGCCCGTTCCATGGACATAGATGATTTCATTAGGTAACTACATTTTCCTTTTCCTACATTTTTACATATCTTTACTGTGACACCTTCAGATTTAGAAATTTAAAGGCTTTTAAGTGGTATAAGGTGCTACCTGGGAGTTATTGCATAGCACTTCCATGGTATGGAATAGTATTTGGTGTAGAAGACGGAGGCTAGTTAGCTGCAGCAGAGTGAACACTTCAGTAAGAACAGTGGTGGGGAACAGTCCGAGCCTGGAGATAACCTCTGTGGCAATGTGTGTGGTGGTGTGCATGCTCCTCCCCTCTAGCCCCCTCCCCCAACTCCCATTCACAGTTAGTCTTAACAGTTTGTCTCTTCAAAGTAGCCTGTAAGGTAAAAGAATCATAATATATATAGTTGGGTCTTTTTTCTTTATTGAGAATAGCTTTTAAGTATGAAATAATATTAGTTACAATCATATCTGGTTATCATTTCTAACTGGTTCAGTAACTTATTTTGTGGACTGAGGCAAGTTCCACACACCTGAAGCAAAAGAAGGGTGTCATAATTAACTGGGCAATATAGACTGAAATTTGTTTTCCTTGGATTAAGAAAGTAAGTCTTAGCAAAGCAGAGTAAGGCGTCAAATTACCCAGGTAATTATTAACCTGTATTCATTGTTTTTAATCACTAACACTCTGATTTCCTAACTAATAAACCATAATTTTTTTCCTGTTTATCCAATTCATTTTTAAAGCTTCCATGGTCTAGAGGCTGATAAAAAAAGAGGGTAGATTGTTATAAAAGTCATTGGTTTGACTTTTCTATGCTAGAAACACAGTTGTATGTAATTGAGACAAATGGCGCTTATATTTTATTGGCAGGCTAGCAGTACTACTGAGTCTTTATTTGATGTTAATCCTAGGAGTTGAACATTATTCATAAGTACCTATCTTCCTTTTTCAGATATCTTAACCCATCTCGATGGTTCTTATGGGCCATTCTGAAAATAATCTCGGGCAGGTCTAAGTAGAAATATTTCATCTTATTTTCCTTCATTCTTATTAATCTTCTTCAAGGTTACTAAACATGCAGTTTGCTAAGTAGGATCTAATAAGTACACAGGTATCCAGAGAGAAGCAGTATTTAATTTGAAACTCAGTAACAGCGAACTCAGAGAGGAAGAATGGACACATGAGATTAGCCATTCATCTCTCTCCTGCCTCTAATTCCAAACAGCTTCACATCCACTTACCAGGTTGAAATGGAACAAGGGCCAGTGTCCTCTTAGGCCAGGGACAGTGTAGGTCTAAGATCATTTTAAATTCATCATGCCTTAAGACATACAGGCTATGACAGAAGAGGCACCAAAATGATGTGGTTTTAACCAATATACATCTCATAAATTTAGTTGAAGAATAAAGTTTCTTTAATGACTAGTGTTAGGAGTGGGTGGGCTTCACAGGTTTGCTGATGTATTTGTGTTTTAGAATTCATGGTATAGGGACTATGTATGCACTGTTACTTGCTACAAACTAGCATTTCAATACCATCCCATTTTGGTTTCTTTTTTCAGATTGCTACATGGATTCAATGCAGAAGGTATCCATTTTTCTTAGGTATCTGCAGAAGAGAAGTTTCCAAACTCAACAAAGTAGAATTATATATTCTTAATAATTTGAGAAGATGAACTATGCTTGGACACTATGTGCTTGACTATTTTTGATTTACTACTGTTGTCACCATTTATTACTCTGAATTTTTAAGGAAGTAAGTCAATTCTAACTATACAGGTTTTTTTTTTTTTTTTGGATTTGGTTTGATTTTAATACACAACATAGGGCAGGGTCCAATTTATACATGATACTCTTCAAGTTTAAGAGCCGCAGACACGCACAACTTTACACTTAAAAAAGTTATTTCTAACAGTGTATTATATAAAGATGTTACACTAATATTTTCTATGTTATATATTACTGTGAGAACGTTTTTTTAGGATTTTAGCTCTTTAGGCCTTTGTTCTTCAAGTCATAAGAAAGTTAAAATATGCTTAATTCAATCACATATTCCCCATACCATTTCTTCTTGTTATTCATGTGTACAGTAAAGCAATTGTTTCCTTGTTTCCTAAAATGTTATTTTGCTTCTCTCATTCTTTCTCTGTTTATCCTATATAATTTCTATCACTGCCTACCCCTTTAGCAATCCTGCAGCATAACAGGCTAGGGTTCTAGGTAAGCCTGAGTCTGCTACTGCCACCACATGGTGCCAGGCATATTACTTCTGGGCATTCCTTACTTGTAAATGAGGATGCTCAACTAGAATGAAATGAACTATAAGACTGTATGTTTTTTCTTGGGGAGATAGTCATAGATTTAAAATTTCAAAGGGTTTTATAAATCAACACTGGCTTTAAAGTTAAAATCCAAATTTTAACAGAGGTACACTGAGTGAACCTAGAAGGAAAAGATAGGTTGTTTGCATAAACAGATTTTTTAGAAATCTGGCTTCAAAGTGATATATTAAAACATTCCTATATAACTAAAATAATGTATATTTTTAGTTAATTATTAATAGGGATATCAGCTTTCAAGTCTGAGAAAGTAAAGAATGTTTAATCCAGATCCAAAAAATTTAAGTTATTCTTTAAATAATAACTGCACAAAGCCACTTTTGTTACATAAATACTACATAATTAAGAGTAGGTTTTTTTAATCTCACAAAGCTACTTAATTAGCAAAGTTCACTTGTACCATCTCTATCCTTAAAGGAAAATTTAAATTTAAGATTTAATTCAGCTTTCCTTCTTATTTCCCTGTCCTCCTATGGACTGCTGAGTTTCAGTCCCTTTTATAACCTTCAGATTTCCCTATCTGTAAAACTGAGGGAATGGATTATACTACCAAGATCTTTTCTGGTACTGATTTTTAATACACCTTGAATACTAATCAGAATGAAGCCATTATAGTATAAGGCAGTACATTTCAAATTGAGGAGACCTTCCAGAGATAGTACCCTTCTAATTTAAATAATAAATTAAGACTTATCTGTTGTGCTTTAAAATGAGTAAATTCACATATCTCTATGTCCTTTGAAGATCATTCCATAGATTTAATAATAAGCACACTGTGAAAATCTACACTTGTTCTAGATTTCAAGTTTACAGAGGAGCTTTTCACCATGGTGTTAGGATTTCCCACAGCGACCTTCTGAGTTCTGTGGACAGTGAAGTAGGGAATCTGGCTCATGTGACTCTATTCATAGCTTCCCATTAGCCCATATGAATGAGCTGGTAGTTCCCTAGAGTAAATCAAAACAAGACACCCTTGGGAGACTTTTTTGTTGTTAACGTACTCCTAGACACTATCCTGGGAACTGAGGGAAAACTCCTAGAGAGATATATAAATCTTCTAACAAAATATTTACATGAAAAGTGGCCAGTTTTCTTCCTTGGAATAGCAATCTGTAAAAATAAGTGCCACCATTTAAAAAGCAGCATGCCCTAGATGAGCTGATTGGTGAGAATTCAGCGATGCTCATCAAATCATGGTGAAACTCATACATTAGGTAATGGCTGGAGCTTGGGTCAGATGTGCCTTTCAAGGCACAGTCATCTCTTTCTTAGCTTAAATTCTTTTTCAAGGGAGTTATGTACTGTCTATTCTTGGCTTAAACTAACAGTTCTATTATGGACTACTTTCAATGTACATGTACATATTCATGCATCAGAAGCCAATTTCCTTTAACAGTACCATTTAAAAGGTTCATTTTGGGGTGCTAATGGACACTTCAACTTAAGTAATGGTATTGGTAAAGATCAAATTGCACTATTAGTCTTGTTAATACCACACTGGAACACACACTGCATATATATGTATTATCCTAAGATAAAACTCTTTTCAGAATTTCATTACTTTTTATTATACACCAACTAGTTTATATTTTAGTTCTTTACAAAGAAAATGCTAAGAAAATTATAACCACATGTTATATGGTTTTAAAATCATAATTCCAGATTTTTTTACATATAAGATGGAATGGTCCAGCAGCTATGTCCACTGTCACAGACTTTAGTTCCATTCATTGATATGGCACATCCTGCAAATCTAGTCACACACAAAAAATGTCTCAATTACAGTAAAAATGTACACACAATAAAGGTAATTTACAATGACAAATAAGGAATGTAATTTATCTTGGCTGTGCTTCAGAAATTTAGGGTCAGTAGCCTTAGTCAAGGCACAAAGCAGGAAGAGGTGAGCACAGCTGTTTCTAGAAGTGGGCAAGGTATGTACAATCACTGATGAGGTATGCATGCACGCAAAGGATTTAAAACTGCTCAGTCTTGCTATGAAAATTGAACTGAGTTAAAAGGAAATGCTGTGGCTTCCCCCTACTATTCACCTCTGGATCAAGTCCACAATCTTACTTCATCATACAGAAAATAAAATTGGCAAGGATCTTCAAAAGTAAATCACTATGTGGGTAAATGAAACAAAATGCTTCACTATTCCCAAACCTTGGTTGTGCCTCCTGGACTAGAAGCATCTTGTAGACAAAGGAGTGTTTCACAAAATTGAAATGTCATTCAGGTTGAAGGGACAAGACATTTTCCACAGACACTTAAAATTTCAAACTTTCGAATGGCCCTTAACAGCTGAACCATTGTATGTTACAGTAGCGAGGGTTCTGGGAATCCTTTAGCAGCAAATGCTGATTTAAAGGGCACGGGGTCTCTTCGGGTTGATTTGCTTGCTGGCCTGTTCTTCCTCTTGTAGAGCTGCACGAAAAGATTTCACTTTATCTTGGAAAAAGAAAAGAACAAGGGAATAAGTTTTGCATTACATGCAATGCAGCACGCAACTTTATGGGTCCTATCAAATCAGCTCTCTTAATTAACTCAGGATTTTTCCTTCTTTGTTGTCCAGAAACTCAGAACAGTGCTCAACTATAGCAACAGACTCATTAGATTCCTGGAAATACTTGTGGGTTTTTTTTGTTATCTTCAACAGATTTCTGTTCTATTTGGCACATTTTACAGCATTCAATTTTAATTTACTTTAATTCCTTTTTGCAGTGTAAAGAGGCTATATATGTGTGTAAAGTAGACATTTCTTCTCTCAATATTGGAAAATGTCTATTCCCAATTCCTATTTTACCTTTTTAAACTATGAAATTTTAAGATTATTTGAGTTTTTAAGAAGACATGTCATTTTTTCCTTATCAGGGATTGCAAAAGGGCATGATGGGGAAGGGAAATTACAGGACATACATTTCTTGGCCTTACAATTCTGTCCTACTGTCTATCGTGTACTGATTCAGTCACTTAAGAGTAAGAAATACATAAGTAAAAATTGGAGGAGGCAAATAACAGCTGTGTGAAGATGAGAAATCTTTTTGTAACAGTGGTTCTCAATTTGGGAGTGATTTTCGCTCCCCTCCCGGGGACATTTGGTAACATCTACAGACATTTCTGACTGTCACATTGGGGTGGTACTACTGTCATCTAGTCAATAGAGACCAGCGATATTTGTAAGCATCGCACAATGCACAAGAGACAGCACCTTCCAACAGTTTCCCAACTTAAAATGTGCAAAGATTATGGCTTTCAGAAAAAAGGAGAGATATAAAGTTGGTATCTCAATTTCTTTCCCCTCTTCCTAAGTAAAACGATGTTGAAAAAGTTGACTTTTCTGAAATTTAGAAAGGAATTTAAGGGGACTTCCCCAGTGGTCCAGTGGCTAAGAATCTGGCTTCCAACGCAGGGGACACGGGTTAGATCTCTGGTTGGGGAACTAAGATCCCACATGCCATAGGGCAACTAAGCCTGCACCGCAACTAGAGAGAAGCCCGCATGCCGCAATGAAGACCCAGCACAGCCAAAAATAAAAAAAAATAAGAAAGGAATTTAAGGACTTCTGGATTTGATGCCTGGTAATACAAGATAATAGCTCTCAAACTTCTTATGTTAATAACAAAATTATCTCTGGATGGTAAAAAAAATTTTTTCTAAGGAAGGACTGAATAATATAATATCTAGGTAGTAATTTCTTCAAAGTTTGCTTGCTTATGCATGAATCCTGAGAAAATTAGGGAAAGGAACTAAGTTGAAAGCTACATCTTACAAAGAAAAAAAATTAGGATGCATTGTGATCTGTCTTCTGAATAAAATGCATACCGAAAAAGCTGCTTGTGCATTATGACAGATTAGAAAAATGATCAAAACACTTTAAATCAAGGCTTGAATATGAAGAACATGAAAAACAGCAAATTTTAGAAACCCTACATCTGCACAAACAATTCTAAATTGGCAAAATGGTCACTGCTGACTCTATAAGATATGATTTCAAATAACCAACTTTACAAAGAACCTAGTTTAAAAAATTTGAAGCAGCTTGTCTGATGCTAAAAACTAGCAACTTCAGTCTGGTTTCATGTTGCACTGCATGCACACACAAAGAAACCTACTTGCATATAAATGAAGGTAGCTAATTTGCCAAAACCTAAGAAAGCACATACAATACATGCTTATCTGAAACTGCAGAGATAAGCTAATTAAAAAGCCGAGAAAGAAGCCATGGCATGTAGGTAAACCACATGCCTCCCTTCGTAAGCAAAGTAGAAAGAGTTGTTTTGAAACCTTCCCCTTCATTTTTTAAAACAAGTGTTCAAAGGAAAAACATGACAATATGCACAGAAAGGAGATGCACATAGGAGGCTAAAGAAAGATGACCCGTAAAAGACCTAAACCAAGAAAAATAATTCTGAAAAGCATCGGCCCACCAAGCTAAAACTCTGAATGGGTATACAAAATTTACAAACTTGTTAAAATATATTGTCCCTCTTTAATCAAAAGATGTCTTTACCTTCTCCAAAGACTAAAAAAAAAGATGACTAGAGAGCACTTGAAATGATTTTTCATGTTTCATTTTTAGAAAAATCAGAATGGTTCGTTGGTCTTCAATACCTCTAGAAAGATGTTAAATGTACCCATAATTTTCACTTCAGATATCTTCTTACAATATGAAATCCTCCCACTAATTACATACAAATATTACGCAGATTTCAAACACTAAAATGAAAAAAGAATTACCCCGCAGCTCAGTTAAAATGTCTATTTTTTGCTCAAGAAT